CAGCTCATCCTTCTCCCTCTGAAGCTGGTCGCACTGCCTTTGCAAGCTGGCACGATCTCTAACGCTCTCTGCATACTCCTGCGCTAGAGCGTTTGTCCAGCTCGCACTCTACAATGCAATCAGAAATCAGACATCAGGCACAGGAAACACAACCCAAACATACAACTGGAATAAAATCTAACTATTTCGCATACCTCCAGGGCATGCCTCACAACGGTATACCCTGCATGGCTAACCGCCTCGTCCTTCGCCCGCATCCTATCCACCTCAGGAAGGGTAGCGTTGAGGAAGTGCTTTGCCCCAGTCCTGTTTGTTGCCTCAAACAGACTTTTCTGGTATACGTGCGGGGGGGTGCACTCCCTGCCCCCATCAAGGCCTCGCACTTCGACTTCTCCTCTCTCCCCGTGTTCAGGAGTGACTTCTGGAGGAGAAGGCTGGGGCACGAACTCCACCACCTCAGTTCCCAGCTCTGCCACCCTCCTCTTCTTCCTCTGAAGAGGTGCCATCTCCTCACTCACCTCTTCACTGCCACCCATGGTAGTCTCCGGCCTTGGCTGCACCTCCACAGCATGGGCAGAGATGCTGGTCAATCGCCCCCCCTGTCACCTCCTTCTCAGCCGCAGTTGAAGTCTTTGACTTCTTCCTTGGCTTTTTAGGGATGCGCAAGCCCCCAACAGCATTTGTAAACTCCTCCATCTCAGCTGCAAAACAAACACAAAGGTCAAAACGCATAAACTAAGATCTAACTAACATAGCACAATGAAAACATACACAGACCTTCGCTCAATGAGCTTGGCCCATAGAGCTCAGCAGCCTCTATTGCCTGCGGACTGGTGAGGTATAGGATGTCCACCACGTCTCCATCCTCCCTCACCAGCTTCTCCACCTCTTCCACCTCATCCTCATTTAATTTATAGTTGTTCTGCTTGGCTTTCTTCGCTTTCCAAGCAGACAACTGTTCCACTTCGGCATCCCTCCTACTCCACTCGGTGTCATCCACAAAGAAGAATTTTTCTTTCCATCCTTTGATGGATGACGGCCCAGCAGAGAATAAAATCCTATTCCCTCTGCTGGATGACCGAGGACCGAAGTGATACCACCCCTTCTCTCCCCTACCCCCAGCCCTAATTACAAAAAAATGTTTGAACATATTCATCGTCGGAACCCCTACCCCCCGAACTCTGCAGTATACAAGGAAGCCTATTACTACCCTTATGGCATTTGGGGTTAATTGGGTTATTCCTATACTATAATCTAATAAAAGCCCCACCAGTAATTCTGGAATGGGAAACCTAAGCCCTGCAATCAAATAGTGCAGGTATATGGGCATCCAGTGGTCTCGAGGTGCTGAGCATGCCCTCTCATTCACCCCAGCCGGCCGGATTAGGACATGGTGGGGAAGGTTACAGTTTCCCACTAACCCCCCAAGGCTACTCCTACTACCTAACTCGCTCACATACCCCCTCACCTCAGACACCATCTGTAAGTCTGGGTCATAGCACCCATCCACGCCACCCCCAGATTCTAACACGTTTGAGGGAATCTCCTCTTCCTCCTCCTCTTCCTCCTCCTCTACTACTACTTCTTCTCTCCTATCCTCCACTGTCCTCTCCGAACTCGTTGGAGACGGACTGCTCTCCTCATCCATACTACCATACTCCAAAGGCATCACTTCACTCCCCACCACACTCCTGGCCTCTTCTGAAGACATCTCAATTTCTGCATACAGGGGGAGGAGGAACGATGTCAGGACCCTAAACAATTCCAACACACTCAACACATTTTCACTCTCCACCCTAATTTCCTCCAAAGAACACTAAATCAACCACAGAAAGGAAGGAAGGAGACTAGCATACCAGCAAAATTGAACTCAAGAATTCAAAATTGAAGTTTAAAATTTTACATTTTACCTGATTTTGATCTTAGGAAACTGTTGTTGAAATTTTGATCGAAGCGCAAACCGCACGAAACCGCAAAAATTCAGTAGAAATTTTACAAGGGTATACTAGCAAAGTAAACGAAAGTAAAAAAGTCCCTTTCACAGAAGTATAGGCTTTTATACCAAAGGCACAATACGCCTCAACGGCTGCGATCAACCCATCTAACGGCTGCAAAGGTACCGTTTCGAATTCAACGGTTAAACCCAAACGGTACCGTTTCGAATATTGACGGTTCATTTTTTAATTCTGCCCGTTGGACTGTTGAGTTTATCCTTTTTTACAGCGGCATTTATTACGCACGTCATTCAGAGGACAGTTGTCGTGTCACGTGCCGCGTCGTAGTCAGACTTCTCAGATGGGCCCACTTAAGCCCATTTCAACACTCCTTTCCACTTCTATACATTTTAAATTCTGACGAGTATTTTACTTCGGCTCCGGCCACAGTGACCCAGTGTCACTCATTTTACTTCGGCTCCGGCCACAGTGACCCAGTGTCACTCATTTTGCCTCGGCTCCGGCCACAGTGACCCAGTGTCACTCATTTTACTTCGGCTCCGGCCACAGTGACCCAGTGTCACTCATTTTACTTCGGCTCCGGCCACAGTGACCCAGTGTCACTCATTTTGCCTCAGCTCCGGCCATAGTGACCCAGTGTCACTCATTTTACTTCTGCTCCGGCCACAGTGACCCAGTGTCACTAATTTTACTTCGGCTCCGACCACAGTGACCCAGTGTCACTCATTTTACTTCGGCTCCGGCCACAGTGACCCAGTCACTCATTTTACTTCGGCTACGGCCACAATAACCCCGTGTCACACATTTTACTCCGGCTACGGCCACTTTGACTCGGGTCATTATTTTTATTGCGGCTCCAGCCACTATTCCTTGCCATGGCTCTTTATTTTATTATCCCTTACGGCTATACATACTTTTGTGGTAATGATTTTCGTTTTTATCTCTCTACACTTATCTATCTTGTATTTTCTTTCACCCTTATGTACTACCCCTTCCACTTCCACCAACATCATTCACAAGTGAATGACTCCGGGGGGGGAATAGTGTAAGGGTAAGCCCAGAGCTTCCCGCTAGAACAGCTACACGGTAGTTATGATGGATATCCTTGTATCTAGATATATCTCAATCTCCCGGTCCCGAAATAACTGCTTGGAGATACATATCAAATCCCGGATATTTTGCTTGGCATCTTAATTGGCATGCCGCGTGGATTCTGCATTGGAACATATAAATACCCCTTTAGGGCCACGCCAAAAGGTAATTGAAACCAACCCTAAGCTCCTTGTTTCTCCATTCCAAAGGTAACCCTGATTATTGCTGACTTAAGCATCGGAGTGTCTACCCCGAGGATCCACCTCGGGGCTTTGCAGGTTAATCCAGAGTGCAGATACGGACTGAAGAAGGAGTTCCGGTTTGGTGCAGTTACAGGTTGTTAAGAAGCTTGATTTGAAGGAAGGCGACAAGGTGATCATTGCTTTGGATGAAAGAGCCAGTTCCACTTATTCGATATTCTCGCCCAGCCTGCAAAGTGGACATAAGTCTGTCATCATGAAATTTGACCTCAATAAACCACCGGAGGACTCAGATGAAGAGGAGATGGACGTGCGCTCCAATAATTAACATCAGATTCTCTGTTTTTCACAGACAAATCCATATATAATATTTCACTTGGGCTAGCTGATCTGCCGAAGAGGGTCGTTGGTACGTTTCATCTTTCCTTGGTGTAGGTTAGTTCCGTCAAAAGTTGGTTTTTTTGGGTGGAGGTTGTGTCTTGATAGATTGCCAACAAAGGTGAACTTACAAAAAAGGGGAGTGGGTTTGCAAGGGGAGGATTTAATGTGCGTCTTGTGTAATGGAGTAATGGAGGAGGTTAACCATCTCTTTTGCACATGCAAGGAGACTTGGTTAGTTTGGGTTCAAGTTCTGCATTGGTGGGGTATTGAGGCAGTGCTATCAAATACAATGGTTGGAGTTGCTGAGTATTTTTTACATCGCTTGGGTAGGATAGTAGGGAAGGAAATGGGAGCCTGTATTTACCTTGTCATTACTTGGTATATTTGGTATTATAGGAACAGTAGAGTTTTTAATAATATTGGCAGTGTAAGGAAAAGGGTGGTGGATATGATTAAAACTAGGACTTTTTTCTGGATTAAAAATAAGGTGTAAGGGTGTGTTTTTTCTTTTTCTGAGTGGCAGAATAATCCAATGCAAGTTACAATAGAAGTCAGAAGGCATAAAAGGCTATTAAAGAAGTTCTATATGCAGCAACAGGGGGTGGCATGATTGGCCTTTCCGGGTTTTGGGTCTGATTATAATTTGCATTGGCTGCTGGGTTTGGTTTGGTTTGGTTTGCTTTAGGTCTTTTCATTTTGTATATGAGTTGGAATACCCCTTGTGCTCCTTAATATAATAAATTTTATTTACTAATAAAAAAAACTAAGATGACTCATACGTTAATGTTCCAAAGATTAGTATTCGTGTACTTTTATTTTTCTGTTTGCCAATGATCAGTAGTAATATATAATTACTTCTAGCTACCAACCTTTCCACTTTTGCTCCACTTTAGAGTTAGAGTTGAAGATGTGAAAAAGGCAAGAATTATATTATATTATATATATGGACTTCTCTTCTTCTCCATTTTCCATTTCTCATCTTTTGCTAATTTTCTGGACATCCTTTTTTTTTTTTTAATTCAATCAAAATGGGTACTATAAGTCAAACGCATACATTTACCCTTTTTCTCTTGGGACAAGTTTTTAGTCATTGCGCTTTTGTCATTTACATGTTCCATTGTTTGCCTTTTTTGCGACAACCTCCGCCATTATTTTGAATTTTGACATCGAGATTTGGCAAACTATTCGCTTGGTAGAGTAAATATGAAGCTCTGTTGAGAGTTTTTGAAAATCTATGTGTGTCAGATTTTTATTAGTGCAGTATAGAAT